ACTTCTCGGAGAAGAGGCGGAAGTGAGAGAGGAATTGTAGAAGTAAAGGGGGTAAAGGAAACCTAATTCCGCCCTCTATTATGGCCTTGGTATAAAAGGGCATAGCATCCTCGGCCCCGAGGGTAGGAAAGTGCACCACCGAGTCATAATCCTCTATGTCTACGCACGGGAGAATGCCGTACTTGACCTTAAACCTATTAATCTGTTCACCATCCTTTACTTTATACTTCCCCGACCACGAAAAACCAGCCTGAGGATTCTCGGGAGCAGGGCAACGACGAGGCATCTCTAAGAAAGTGAGAAAGTGGAGGGTGTTTTTTCTTAAAAATCCCTGAGGAAGCTTCCCGAGGATTAGTCGCTAAGTATCAACCGGAGACACCTCCAGTCATCGGAAAACAAAAAGGGATAGGAGGAAGAAAAGAAGAAAGAAACTAGGACTCACCCGAATGCCAAACGGAGTTTTTTCTGAAAAACTTTAGGCGACTCCTTCCAGAAAGTTCNAATTATTCTGAAGACATTAAGGCAACACTGCTCGGGGAAGAGGCGGAAGTGAGAGAGGAACTGTAGAAGTAAAGGGGATAAAGGAAACCNACGAAAAACCAGCCTGAGGATTCTCGGGAGCAGGACGACGACGAGGCATCTCTAAGAAAGTGAGAAAGTGGAGGGTNTGAGAGAGGAACTGTAGAAGTAAAGGGGATAAAGGAAACCTAATTCCGCCCTCTATTATGACCTTGGTATAAAAGGGCATAGCATCCTCGGCCCCGAGGGTAGGAAAGTGCACCACCAAGTCATAATCCTCTATGTCTACGCACGGGTGAATGCCGTACTTGACCTTAAACCTATTAATCTGCTCACCATCCTTTACTTTATACTTCCCCGACCACGAAAAACCAGCCTGAGGATTCTCGGGAGCAGGGCGACGACGAGGCATCTCTAAGAAAGTGAGAAAGTGGAGGGTGTTTTTNAGCAATGTTATGTGCACAAAAAATATACACTAAAATTTGTAATACACCACTTACGGTCGTTAGATTAGTACGTCTCATCACTGATCCAACGATTATAATTAATTTAGTGCAAATTTTAGTGCACATACAAATATCTATATTCCTTGGATCAGTCAATCTTATAACTACTAAAGTCAGACACCAATAAAATCCAGCCCCTCTATCACCTAACATGTCCTTCGATTATGTTCACTTGATATAAATTTATAGTCCGTTTATTTATGAGAAGTATTATTTAAATTTAATTTATTAATCTAATTTATTATAGTCATTAAATTAATTATGAGTCCTATCAAATATTAGAATTTATTGTTAATCAAACGATTAGAATAATATCACATCATTGAATCAGAGCCGATTAAGTCAAATTTTTAAGACGAAATATAAATACTTTTTATTCATCAATATAAAAGAAAGAAAAATGACCAACCACGCATATTGGACCGTGGCTGATCCTTCCTTGGTTAAACAAGTCTTCTGACAAATTGTCATTTGGTGTAGGGGTCATGACATTATTACCTAGTGTTTTTTTATGGAGTTGAATTGACACCTACAAAATATTATAACTTAGCCATAAAATATTTGTAATTTTCCAAACTCACCCAAGTCGTTCTCGCTCAAAGAAATTATGTCCGCATTAGTATACCCCACAAACATTAACTCAGAAAGACCGCAATCTAATAACAAAATATTGTCCAAATCTTCCTCGTTCTCTCACTTTTTATGCTTTCATGGAACCACACTGCTTTTGATGATCCTAATGTATAAAACATGTACACTATTCTGCTGAAGAAAAAGATGATCAGATGACTTCACCTTTTCCTTTTCACCAAGGCTTCAAGACCAAGATGACCTATGCAATGACATCTATTTACCTTGGATGACGAACAATCTAAGTTTCAATTTGCTCATTAATGGCATTGAAGATCATAAAGCTCTCAAGTCCTGGTAATTAAACAGCCTATATATATGTACACCTTCTGATGAGACTTTTCTGAAATACTCCATGATGAAGACACGTGTCCTCGGTATTTACCAAAACACTGTTACTAAGATCAAGCACCATCGGCGCATAAAGGTCCTCGCCCCCGAGGTACTCGTCATATAGGATCATGGCATTTCAGTACGAGTTACAACCAACACGTAACCTCGGTCTGATATGGTACCTCGGTCGGTATACCTCCGTCGGTTCCGAGATGAGCCTTTCCTTGATGCCGAGAGGTACCCCGTCCTGGACGCTTCCTCTATTCCAGGATAAGCTATTGACNACTAAGATCAAGCACCATCGGCGCATAAAGGTCTTCGCCCCCGAGGTACTCGTCATATAGGATCATGGCATTTCAGTACGAGTTACAACCAACATGTAACCTCGTCTGATATGGTACCTCGGTCGGTATACCTCCGTCGGTTCCGAGATGAGCCTTTCCTCGGTGCCGAGAGGTACCCCGTCCTGGACGCTTCCTCTACTCCAGGATAAGCTATTGACGTACAGGTCATTAGCCTAAGCTAGTCTAGACTATTCATCATGATCTCGTCTTACACAATTAGTGTCAGAACGTACTGGAATGCAGGGGCCACAGCCAATGGGGGATGGACGCGTGGCGTATGATATCACATCGAAGACAGAGAAACCGCATGCCGTTGCTGACACGCGACTTGGGAAAGCAAACGATTAATTACACCATTCCCTTGATGAGACCGCATTCAATGCGGTAAGGCTCGAAAATGAAAGGCAATAAATGCTCCTAATACAGAGCATTTATTGCATCCTCCCCGAGAGGAGTACATTGTACCGGCATTCCGATGACCCAGCATTGATTGCTCGGGACCTCGAGCAGTTAAGAAGATAAGACATTCCTCATCAGAATCAGTGCGCACACTGCCTGTANGCATCCCGATGATCCAGCATTGATTGTTCGGAACCCCGAGCAGTTAAGAAGAGAAGACATTCCTCATCAGAATCAGTGCGCACATTGCCTGTACCTAATGATCACCTACTGACTACACTGACAGCAATCATGAGCTTTTGAAGTATAAATACTCCTTGTAAAAGGCAAGACGGGTATGCAACAAAAAACTCTTTACTACAATACACACTCAGTGTTTTCTCCTTCCTCTCTCTTTCTCAAAGACTGACTACATCGTCAGAGGGAATACGCCGAAAAATACTCCGGCGCCCTTCTAACTTGTTCTTCTTTGTTCCAGTGACCTCTTTCAGCCTTACTGGATCGTTCTTCCGCTCACCCAGGGTCTCCCTTTGCCGTTCCAGGTTACCACCGGACCTCGCAGGCTGTTCCAAGCAACGTGGTTGGTCACTCAACTGGCTCACTCGAGNCAAGCAACGTGGTTGGTCACTCAACTGACTCACTCGAGTTCACCAAGAGAGAGATCTGTTCTCGTTTTTTATATTGTGCAGGATCTTGCACACACACAGAGGTAGCTGCATTTCTGGACAGAATAGATGGCTTTCTGATGTGCTATATTGTTTAATGTTTTATTGTGAGCAAAACACTAAAAGCCGCAATAAAACACTGAACTGTTTGTTGCTTCTCGTGTTCACATGACTAATACTGTAGAGGGCTGCAACCGGAGACTGGGAGACATAGGTGGTAAGAGCCTTACTGTTGTTTGAAGTTGTGGAGGTAGCTACGCATTGGGTGGATGAATTGAATTTGGATCCTTTGTGCAGTAATGTAGTACAGTGAGGCTGAATGCATAGGTCCGAAATATGCTCCTGTTGTGGTTGTGGTTACGGTTACGCCCAGAGTCTCTCAACTCCATGCCAAAATCTTTCCGAGTGGTTTCAGTAAATACAGACCAACGATTTTACTTAACAGTACGAAGCTGAGGTTTTTTCCCTTGCAGAGGATGTGAAGGCCAGCTGTAGGAACCAATTACTGATTGGCGAACACTGCTTGTGATGTGATGTGAATTTGTTAGTCGTCATAAAACACACACACACCCTCTCTCTCTCTCTCTCTCTCTCTCTCTCTCTCTCTCTCTCTCTCTCTCTCTCTCACACACACACACACACACACACATCAAAAATGTCCTCGGACGGCCAGCCCTCAATTCAGTAGAGAGCTCAGAGCCTTCTGCAAGAATAGGGCAGTGATAAAAGTGTGGAGCAAAATCCAAGTACAACTGCCAGACCTTCCTCATCCCTATGTAAGCTCAGCAGTATTAACTAGTAACTGCAGTCCATAGAAGTGGAACAAAATTCACTCCACAGCCACCCCTCTCCCCCCTCCAACTCCCTCACCCACACCTGAAAAAGTAAATAAATAACCCTAAAAAAGAAACAAAAACCAACCTAAAAGACGTGTGAGGAAATAGAAAATAATAGGCTTTCTCTGAATGGGAACCAATTAATGATAATTTACAGCTTGTTACTCGGATAGAACAACAATACGTATGAGAGAGAGAGAGAGAGAGAGAGACGGAGGGAGGGGGGAGCAGCTAAACATATTTTTCCTTATGTAATAAAAAGAATAGGACCAGGTAGTCGGGAACATAAACAAAGTCGCCCCCTGAAACAAATAGGTCACCAATCACCATGGTCATGAAATATCTGTGACCAAAAGGACGGCAACCATATTTTCTTTTTCCTATCAGTTTTTGCGGGCCTGCAACAATTGGAAAGAGAAAACAAAACAACAATCCATCACAATCCTTCCCTGATACACTCACCTATGCCAGTCCCTCAAAAGATGTCAGTGGCGCGCACAAGCTTTGGAATAACTGAATCTTTCACCTTGAAATTGAAGCATTTCATACATCATTCGATAAATAGGGGAATATAAACCCCCCCAAAAAAAATTATAACAGCAATTATTTTATGGTGATAATTACATGTTAGTCAGCATTATATGGTATTAGCCAGACAAAAAAAAAATGTCATATGGTATTAGCCATATAGTCTGACTCAGGTTTGTGTCTCTCTTACACTACAAAATTTAGGCAGGCGAGTGCCATTGATAATCGATCCGCTGAACATCAACCTGCAATTTACACAGTTGTCATTATAAATGATGTCTTGGCTCAAATAATCTCTAAGCAACCTACCATAGTCAAACACTGGGCCATCTTGCAGGAGCAGCAGGCTCCAGCAACCGTGAGTCACAATTAAGGAAACCCAGATCAGGGTCCCAACTATGGTATAATTCATCCCTCTTAAACCATATCCCAGATTTGAAGAAACTCGAAACGAAGTCTCTATTCTAATCAATCAATGAACTTTTCTAATGTTGTGATTGAAATTTGAATCTGTGTAGACTAGAATAACTCTCTTAAGCAAAGTGTAGAAGGCGCTCCACCCTGTTGTAATTTCTACTTCATTTCCCTTCTATTCGGCATTCATAGAGACTCAATGATGTTTGAGAAATAACCAAACACAATTATCATATTAATTAGCCTACCAGATTGGTGATTTTCAGAGTTCCCAGCATCTTTGCTGCAACTGGGTCTAATGTTACCAGGATGCACAACTGCTTGATTCTGCAAAAAGAATTAAGGACATCAAAATATTTAGCTAGCATATAAGTACTGGGAAAAAAAAATAAAGCAGAGTAAGCTCAATCACGCCTCAGGCTGAGACAGGTGGTGCCTCTCTAGCTCACTCAATAAAATACTAGCTGGAAATATTCTGAGCCCGATATGATGGCTAGTTAAATGAGAAGGGATACATGCGATAATCTGTTTGAGTGAGACACTCACTGTTACTAGTAACCAACCTAATACGTGGTTAACGATAGAAAATCAGGGGAAGGATATATCCTTTATTTTTCCTTTTTTTTTTTTTTTGATGTCGGAAGAGGAGTTAAAGATGTCCAATTGATGCCATTTAGAATTACAGTATTACTTCAAAGGTTAAAGAGTCCAACATACCTGAGGATGTGATACTTGTGTCTGGTGGAAACCAAGATACTGTTGATATGGGTCCGCAAAATTTGGAATCTGTGGGTGGTTGGCATTCTGAGAAGCAAGTGACGCAAGACTTGGCTGATTAGTTGCTTGGATCCTGGATGCATCAAGTACAGGAAAAGGTGGCATATGAAAGGCTGGAATAGGGAACCTTGGACCCAAATGAGCTGATCCAGCTGGGGTTGGCAGCGCTGAACTCGGTAGAACAGTGGGAAACGGCACCATTGGTAGGTTCATGCCCATATCCATGCCCATTCCCATTCCCATTCCCATCCCCATAGGTGGCATGTACTGATGAACACCAGGAAACATCATAGGGACCATGCCGCATCCCATGGANTCCCATCCCCATAGTTGGCATGTACTGATGAACACCAGGAAACATCATAGGGACCATGCCGCATCCCATGGACATCATCTGCAAAAAGTCGTAACAATATCTAAAAAATTGTTTAATCTCGAAAACGAGCTGAACCTGTGCCGAGCTCGAGTAGCTTGATTATTTTAGATATAAATAAGATAAGATTTACTAGTTTGAGACGAGCTTTTTAAACTTGTTTTTTAAAAACAAGCTTAAAAAATTATTCAAACTCGGCTCATTTACGAAACAAGTCGACCCTAATGAGTTGAATTCAAGCCAAGCCCGAGCAGTCCAGCTCATTTACCAGCCATAGTATTGTGTACCCAAAATAACTTAAGCAGCATTGGTGCATGTGGCAAACTCGAGGCCTGAACATCATGATGGCACAACTGGTGTTTGCCATTTTGGACTGGTTAAACCCCTCTCTGGGAATGATAGTACAATTAACTATAAAATCCAAAACCAAGTGAAACAAATGGACATCTCATGAACTTGAATTTTTCCCCTTTGGCAGATAGTGTATTCTAGAAAAAATGCAAATCCAGAGTACTCCATCCCGTCCAAGGTAGTTATATTGGCTCTTCGAAATTTCTGTATACCATGCTACTTTACTTGTCGTTTTGAGTTGACAACCCCGTGGAAAGGGGGGATAGGGAACCCATAGACTTCTAAGTTCTGAGATACACGAGAGAAAATTCAACTTTCCAGGCAACATAAACAGCCAAGAAAAGAGCGAAGACAAAAATTTACCTGTATTTGCAATTGAAGTGATTTTAAGTACTCAATTGCCTCATCAAGCATTGAAGCTTTGTCTGACTGAAATTCAGAAAGAGGAAAAAAATTTTAAAAGATAGTATAGGATCTAATTCAGAAAATAGTGCTTCACATGAGGCACATGGATTCAAGATAAGCAAGATTGCAAACCTTGTTGCAACGAGGAATGAGTTCTTGCAAAGCCCTCATCTTCTCATTTATCCTATCTCGACGCTTCTGCACAAGATGCAATATTAGATCACTGAGTATACAACCACACGACAAAGGAGCTCAATACATTAGAAGCTCAAGACACCACTAATAACAGCACCCAGGAAAAATAAAAGGGAAAAATTTGCGTACTCTCTCCGAGAGATTGTGGACCTCTGCTGCACGGGATCTCTTTGTAGATGTTGATCCATGAGCTGGCTTCTTTACATCAGCCGATTCGAAATCAGCATCCTACGGAAATTGAAAACACCAGAACTTAGAACAAAATAAATAAACATGAAAGAAGGAAATAAGGTCCAGAACATTAGTTATTAAAATCAAAACAAGTACCACGAAATAAAAATATATATCATTTCAAGATTTCTTAGTTGTAATTTTTGCTTGGTACTTACAGCTAGTTTTCCTGAAGTAGCTAGCATTATACCGTGGTCAGGTAAGGGATCAATACTTGCATCATATTGTACATCAAAGGCTTTTATTATGCAGAGCATATTGTACCGCTTTTGCGCCTACAGCTTACTTCTTTCCCCTCACATCAAGCCAGTTTCTAATGCCTACTTTGAGCAATAGACATCATAGTCTACCGATGAAAAATGCCTACAGCCTACATTGAATAAAAAAGATTGGACAAGNCTCACATCAAGCCAGTTTCTAATGCCTACTTTGAGCAATAGACATTATAGTCTACCGATGAAAAATGCCTACAGCCTACATTGAATAAAAAAGATTGGACAAGATTATGTAACAAGAATAACTGTTTGGTCCGGCATGAAAGATTGCCCTGTCACTTCCGAGTATATCTCTATGTCTATTATTCCTTAATTTTTGGCATTTGGTCAATTGCTTTCAAGTTATGATTCCCTCTCTTCGCCTCGTTTGATTTTGCCATGTCCTGATTATGATTTCAAGGATTGGCAATCCCTTGTCAGATGCTCTTCCTTCACTTCTCAACAAAATCTATCAACTATCATATACTTTTATTGACCATTTGACACTGCATGCCTGAGGTATGCTATACATAAAACATTTCAGATCCCTAACAGCTTCCTGAAGCAAAATTTTCAGAGTTCCATTGCTTTTTCACTTTTGAATTGTTTCAGCAAAATGCAGGTAACACTATCCAGTATCCCTGCTAGTTTTCTGTTCTCCTCAACGATCAAGGTTCCTATTCCGATCCAGGTGATTCTTGGAGAAAGTCGTTGTCATCCATTCATGATTCAATTACCACATTTTGTACAATCTACATTACGTTATTTAACGACACTAAATCCAAATGGAACAATGTGGCTTTGCTCTTAAAATAATCCCACATGAACTGAGAAATGTCACAGGAACATTTTGAAACATCAGCTTAAACCTTGAACATATATATTACTCCAGATATCCTAGATAAAAAATGGTTCATAATTACAAATCTGAAATATTCGCAGGAGTGGTTGATTAGTCTTCTCAAAAAGGTTTTACCCAGTGCACCGGAATGGTTAGTCTATCTATTTTTAGACTTTCTAAGATTTCACCACACCTATACTACATATTATTACAAACAAATTAGGCGAGAGTGGGCTTAGGAGGCCTTCTATCTCCATTTCCTTTTTTCTTAGAATTTTCTTTTTTTTTTTAATAACACATGATTATATCCATTCACATTTGTCACATGTGCAATTTAAATACTCTTCACCCCCACTAATTAAAAGTTTAAAAAAACAATTATGCACATCACCTCATAATCTGCTATAATTACTATTCAATTTCTCACGCGACGAGGCCAAAAAATATAGAAGAATTAGGAAGGATGTAAATTCCATGCATCGCACGGGGCCGCAACTAGTATTTCATATTTAAATTAAACTAAAGCACCTTTAGCCTTGTCCAAATCCAAAATCAGACTATTATGCCAAACAATTCCTTTATGATAGGCGAACAATATAGTTATATAGTCTGATGTATTATATTTCGCGTATTTTTTTTCCAAATGCTATCATTTGACAAATTATTAATACACAAAGACAAGTATACAATACAGAGGTAGCTGCATTATGCATATCACCCTCTATTTATGTTTGATAGGTCAGACAGCAAGCTAGATTTCACAAGCCCTGGGGGGGTCTCGTATTGTCTCAGGTGCAAATGATTTTAGTATTTCCTTTGGCGTCGGCTTGTACAAAAAGTATATGGGTGTTTGTGACATAATGCTCATTATTGAGGTCAAAGAATATTATAGAAAGCCAAGCATTTCGACATGATGAACTAGTCCCGTCATATGCACCAAGATCAGACACACATCACACTCACTCTCTCTCTCTCTCTCTCCGCTTGGATTTTGATAGGTTTATGGTAACTATTCTGTGCTACCGGCCCATTGGACCTATCATCGTTCATTAAAAAATGTACAAAACTTGTGGTGTTTGAACCATACACGTGGCAGAATCAATAAATTTTGAATGCCAAAGTTGTGCCACGTGTACGGCAGAATGAGATCACGCGGGCTATAGGTCAACGGCATGCATTGGGGGGACTGGGGAGTGGTGCCTAAGCAAAAAGACGAAACCCCACCACCGGCGCACTTTAGAGACAACAAATTCATTGGCCAAAACAAAAGGACACAACCAAAAGCAAGAACTTACCTCACTGTGATACTCGTTGTCGTCGGCTTCTATTCCTTTACGCTTCCGATCCTCTGGCTTCTCCTGCGGCTGTTTCCTCGCCGGCTCGGCGCTCCCACTGACGCTGGCTCCGGAATTATTAGATGATGAAGCCATCGTGAGATCACACGTCGTCGCCAACTCCCTCGCCGCGGTCGCTGTACTTCCCTCATCAGTGCCGCTCATGGTCCCGCACCCTCTATTCCCGCCAGAAACCTGAGTCGTACTACGCGCCGCATGCGAAACCCTAGATTCTGGATCAACATCGGGCGTATCATTCGAATCCACCACCGTTGATTCTCTCACCGCCTTGCTTGAACTAGACGGTCCTGATTCCATTCTTCCTTTTGGTCTCGTGAAGTGCATGAAATTCTGAATCCTAGCCGAGCTTTCAACGACCTCCCGCCTAGCCGGAGGTATCGGAGGCCGCGGGGCTGCAGTTGATGTCACCGAAGAGGAAGGCGGTGGCGGTCGGACGTCCCGTGGGGGAGGGGCGGTGACGAGAGCAGACGGTGCAGGATAGAAAAGATCGGAGTAGATATCGCGGTCGAAGGAGGATTCATCGAGTGGAACTGGATAGTGATGCCAAGAGGCCATTTCATCTTCTTGCATGAAGAGGTGAGGTATGGTTTCATCCTCGGATCTGATCTCTCTGGCGGTGGAGTGTTGAGCGGCAGGGGTGACGGCTTCGTCGGCGATGTGAGATTTCTTGAAAGATCTTTGGTTTTGGGTTTGTACAACCGCTTGACCGTTTCGCCATAGTAGCTCCATGATCTCTTCGTCCTCAGCCCTGTTCATTATAATTCTATTCAGAAGAGAAAGCCAAAATTAAGTATGTGAACAATTATCAATGCAACGAATAGCGAAAACTTACATTGCTGATTTCTTTGGCCTGCTTAAACTCGGTGACGATGTCGGAATTGAATATTCATCGTCCATTTCAAAATCAGGAACTTGGTGATGGTGACTCATCTTCAATTTGGACACAAAATCAGAATTAATGAAAAGCCAAATCCACTGTAATTAAACTAAGTCTCGAACTCACTGTGAAACTTGAAAAGCCAAATCCACTGCTAAACGCACGACTATATCTCTCCTCTGTATATGTTCGTTCTGTAATGGAAAAATCGATAAAGTAAAGAGGAATTTGCAGTTAGGTTTTGCGTTTTTCTCTCCTATTCTTTGCCTTCTGTGTTAAGTGTTCTGGAGAAGGAGATAAGGTCGTTCTCTCTCCTCTTCTGTCTCTCTCTCTCTCTCTGCCCCCTAATAATACGAAGGAAAACGACGAATGTGATTTTGACGGTGTGTATGTTATCAGATAATGTGATTGATTTTTTTAACCCCTTACTACATTGACAGATTTTTCAAAAATTGGATTGAAAGTAAAAGCACAAGGACACCCTTTCTTCTTAATTAGGATTACCATACTAAAATTTTATTTGGATAATTTTATGTGTACCAAATTTTATATTAAATTAATCATAGTTATTGAATTAGTAATGAGATTCATTCATACAACGGCTGTCACGAGCCCAAATTTAATTGGGTCAAGCCTCATTAATGAGATAGACCCAAATCAACTACAAGGCGGGTCAAGCCTAATTTATGGATTTGGTTCAGTTCAGAATTCAAGGAATTCAGAAGGATTAGTGCACGTGTGGGGAGTAATTACCGGAATAGTTGCTCTCGAAGATCAAGACAATATTTAATGAGTAATGTTACATGGACTTAAAAATTAGACTTGATAATTATAACTATTGATTTCACTGTGTATCCTACCATTTATTGGAACCCACTACCTATTCAATGGTTGAGATTATCAAGTCTACTTTTTAAGTTCAGCTAGCATTACTCATATTTAATTGTACTTAACTTTTGTAGTTATTCTCTCAGAAGAGTTAATATCTTTACTCTCACGTCACTGTCTTAATAAAAGCTCTGTTTTTATAAATTGTAAATTTTTTCTACATGAGAGGACACGTCTCTATACACCTCTCACATAATTTTTTCTCTCTCATAGCTATCATACCTTTCTCAGAATTAATATTTGCTCTCTCTACTACTTCATCAATAAAGACCATCGGTCATCGTTATCGTTTCCCAGAATGGGGTAGGTCACTTGGATCGAACCACTGTATATTTTCGTGTTGATCCGATATTTACATTATTGTCATTGATTACTTTATTAATTGTTTATTAATTATATTTTATCACACACTCGACTGTTGATCTAGTATAAAACTGTTTTGGATATCATTAGACTGCAAGTGATTTAGTACATATTTTTGGTGCACATAACATTGTTCATTTTATTTTTCATATCCCACTGAAAAATAAAAAAATTTAAGTTTTATTTCAAAAAATAATAAAATTTATATTAAGAATAATAAGTGAACTCAAAAAGTAAATGCACCTCAAAAGTTAATGTAGTAATCGGCGCCGTTGAGCTTGAGAGAATAATCAATGCACATTTTAAAAAGAAACTCTACCTTAAAAAATGATATAAGTATAAAAAAAAAAAAGNAATTATAACCATTGATTTCACTGTGTATCCTACCATTTATTGGAACCCGCTACCTATTCAATGGTTGAGATTATCAAGTTTAGTTTTTAAGTCTACTTTTTAAGTTCATCTAGCATTACTCATATTTAATTGTACTTAACTTTTGTAGTTATCCTCTCAGAAGAGCTAGTATCTTTACTCTCACGTCACTGTCTTAATAAAAGCTCTGTTTCTATAAATTGTAAATTTTTTCTGCATGAGAGGACACGTCTCTATACACCTCTCACATAATTTTTTCTCTCTCATAACTATCATACCTTTCTCAGAATTAATGTTTGCTCTCTCTACTACTTCATCAATAAAGACCATCGGTCATCGTTGTCGTTTCCCAGAATGGGGTAGGTCACCTGGATCGAACCACTGTATATTTGCGTGTTGATCCGATATTTACATTATTGTCATTGATTACTCTATTAATTGTCTATTAATTATATTTTATCACACACTCGACTGTTGATCTAGTATAAAACTGTTTTGGATATCATTAGACTGCAAGTGATTTAGTACATATTTTTGGTGCACATAACATTGTTCATTTTATTTTTCATATCCCACTGAAAAATAAAAAAATGTAAGTTTTATTTCAAAAAATAATAAAATTTATATTAAGAATAATAAGTGAACTCAAAAAGTAAATGCACCTCAAAAGTTAATGTAGTAATCGGCGCCGTTGAGCTTGAGAGAATAATCAATGCACATTTTAAAAAGAAACTCTACCTTAAAAAATGATATAAGTATAAAAAAAAAAAAGTAATATAATACCGATTTTTCTTTTCAGTATGGTAATCAAACCCAAAGGTGATGGCTGAGGCTGATGAACGATGGCATGCAGATGCCGTGTGCTGGAGACATGCGGTGAATCTAGTTCTCCCACCACTAGGTTTTGCCCATTAAAGAAATAGAGGCCGGTTTGGTTTGCGTTTTAAAAATAGTATCTGAAAATAGTTTTTGAGAAACAGTTTTAAAAAAGTGATTTTCATATTTTTTTAGATAAAAAACTTGCTTGGTTAGACGATTTTAAAAAAAAATTTACAATACAGAAAATAGTAAAACCTGTTTGGACAATCTAAATATATATTTAAACAGTAATTCAAATATTAATAAAAAAATATAAAAAAATTATTTTTATATTGACAATTTCATAATATATATATATATATATACCCATATTTGAAGATCCAAAATTGTTCTTTTTGTTTCCAAAATTTTCATAGAAAAATTTGAAAACAAGTTACACTTTTTTTCTATTTTTTGTTACTCAAATCTTATTTTTTCCCAAAATTTAGAGAACAACAATGCTAAATAAACTGGTTTGAAGTGTTTTTGAAATTTTGAGAACAAAAAACTGTTTCCGAAACGCAAAGCTAACATGACCAAACTCTTTTTAAAAATTTGCCTTGTGGTTGAAAGCACTAATATGTGGAGGTTTTATTTAATTTTTTTGATTGAAAATTTTCTTTTTATAATTTTTTTGTGTGTTCGTTGGAGTGCATTGTAGATCCGATTCTAATTGTCAAACTTTTCTTTACGTTGTATATTTCGACCGAAACTGAGGCTGATCAAACTGTACAATGAATCGGAAAGCAAAAATCTCTAGCATTTTCAAAGCAATCCCGCCCCCTTTGCAAATTCAATCCCAGAACTACGGTTTCAAAGGATCATGCAGTAGATGTGTCAGGTTCGAAAGTGTCTCCTCTTGTTGTTAGAATTGTGTGTTTGTCTTTGCCTGTTCAAAGAGCAACAATTAATGATCTTAAAGGAGCATCGATCTGCTTGATTTGAAAACAATCCACACTCCCTCCGATGAGTGTTTTTTCATTCTTGCTTGATTACTATAGGATTACCACCGGAAGGCGTGGTCAATCTCACAAAATCTAATGAGCATGACATTCAACATAATACATCACGTATCTGATGTGTGTTTATGATTTAACTAGTATTCTGTGCGGGCAAGATCCTGCACGATATATAAAGGATTGGGAACAGATCTCTCCCCTGGTGAACTCTGAGTGAGCCGGTTGAGTGGCCAAACANTATTGATTTCACTGTGTATCCTACCATTTATTGGAACCCACTACCTATTCAATGGTTGAGATTATCAAGTCTACTTTTTAAGTTCAGCTAGCATTACTCATATTTAATTGTACTTAACTTTTGTAGTTATTCTCTCAGAAGAGTTAATATCTTTACTCTCACGTCACTGTCTTAATAAAAGCTCTGTTTTTATAAATTGTAAATTTTTTCTACATGAGAGGACACGTCTCTATACACCTCTCACATAATTTTTTCTCTCTCATAGCTATCATACCTTTCTCAGAATTAATATTTGCTCTCTCTACTACTTCATCAATAAAGACCATCGGTCATCGTTATCGTTTCCCAGAATGGGGTAGGTCACTTGGATCGAACCACTGTATATTTTCGTGTTGATCCGATATTTACATTATTGTCATTGATTACTTTATTAATTGTTTATTAATTATATTTTATCACACACTCGACTGTTGATCTAGTATAAAACTGTTTTGGATATCATTAGACTGCAAGTGATTTAGTACATATTTTTGGTGCACATAACATTGTTCATTTTATTTTTCATATCCCACTGAAAAATAAAAAAATTTAAGTTTTATTTCAAAAAATAATAAAATTTATATTAAGAATAATAAGTGAACTCAAAAAGTAAATGCACCTCAAAAGTTAATGTAGTAATCGGCGCCGTTGAGCTTGAGAGAATAATCAATGCACATTTTAAAAAGAAACTCTACCTTAAAAAATGATATAAGTATAAAAAAAAAAAAAAAATAATATAATACCGATTTTTCTTTTCCGTATGGTAATCAAACCCAAAGGTGATGGCTGAGGCTGATGAACGATGGCATGCAGATGCCGTGTGCTGGAGACATGCGGTGAATCTAGTTCTCCCACCACTAGGTTTTGCCCATTAAAGAAATAGAGGCCGGTTTGGTTTGCGTTTTAAAAATAGTATCTGAAAATAGTTTTTGAGAAACAGTTTTAAAAAAGTGATTTTCATATTTTTTTAGATAAAAAACTTGTTTGGTTAGACGATTTTAAAAAAAAATTTACAATACAGAAAATAGTAAAACCTGTTTGGACAATCTAAATATATATTTAAACAGTAATTCAAATATTAATAAAAAAATATAAAAAAATTATTTTTATATTGACAATTTCATAATATATATATATATATATACCATTATTTGAAGATCCAAAATTGTTCTTTTTGTTTCCAAAATTTTCATAGAAAAATTTGAAAACAAGTTACACTTTTTTTCTATTTTTTGTTACTCAAATCTTATTTTTTCCCAAAATTTAGAGAACAACAATGCTAAATAAACTGGTTTGAAGTGTTTTTGAAATTTTGAGAACAAAAAACTGTTTCCGA